TGAGAAAACTCGAGGATCATCCACTCTTCTGACAACGCAAAGTTTTCATGGTGGTGAAGTAGTTCGGACGGGCAACTATGTCGTCCTCTAACTGTGAGAGAGAGAAAGAGAGAAAGAGAGAGAGAGAGAGATGTAGTCAAACAATGCAGTATAGTAGAGGTACTAATACAAGCATATCAAAGTTTAAGTGGAGCATCTAAAATCCTCTTCTTTTCACTCGTCTTCTCTCTAACAGTAAATCAAATGGGTTTGTTATCTTCTTTAATTAAACACTAACAGGCAGGTTTACCTCCTGAGGACATAAAAAAAAGCAATTACAGATAATTCCAAGAAATCATCTTCCTCTTTAACAAAAAGCTCCATCTCAGTAAGGACACTTAGAATAACAATCTGAGCCTTTTAGAGGACACACTTTGATCCTTCGATGATTACGTTGCAGACATCACGGCCTGTTTCACTTCTTCAAGATGAATAAATCTACTGGAGGAAATCCAAAACTCTTGTGTGCACCTGTAAGTCATCTTAAACAACAAAATGCAGGAGTTTGGTTTGGTGGGCTTTTGCGCCCACCGAAGGTCTTTGAGTGCAACCGCACTCTAGGATACTAATAGTGCTGTTAGCGCCTCCCCCTCATCGACAACATGCAAGAACGGGAGGCGAGGAGACCATCCTCCTTCATCACTTAGCCTCAGACGTTGTTTAAAACAGTACTGAGACGGTCAAACTGGTTGATTTGTAGCTCATGGCCGCTGTATGAACGAGTGCTGTAAAGCCGTACACACTTCTCCTCGGTGACCTCAAAAATACGGCCTTGGTTTAAAATTTCTACTTGAAAGGCTATGAAAAGGAAATACTTCAGCTTTCAAACAGAGAGCAGCAGCTTTCTGTGGTTCTTTTCCAGTCTGGTGGCTCTGTCTTTGGAGCCCCCCCGCTTTCCGACAAACTGAGAAAAAATTCCTGCAGCTCAACACCAACCAGCTCAAAGCACCCGCCTGGAAGTGTGAACCTTCACTTCCAAAGACCCGTCTTGATTTGATCTGGTTTGAGGCTGCCATCACTCTTCAGAGCTGCTTCAGGGCTTTGAATACAACACTTTTTGTATCTTTTAATCATCTGGATACAAAAAAAAAATTGTAGGAAAACAGGGCCCCGGTTTAAAATAATGTAAATCCTCTTTAATATTGAGCTCTGAGTCCAGGACTAAACCAAAAATCCTGTCCCAGTTTGTGGTAGATTAGAAACTTTCAACATGTTGAACGCAAGAGGTGTCAGTGATCTGTAGAAACTTTACTTCAAATGGAAGTGAAACCCCAGTAACTTTCTTACACAGCTACACAAAAGAGTGAGGACTTGTTCATTAATGAACTCCCTCGTTAAAAACAGAACGTTTACTTTGAGGTAATTTTATTTTTCAAATAACACTACGCCGACCTTTTCTGTTCCTGCTATCAGTCCTGCAGCACACACACTTGTTGTGCAGCTCTCTGACAGACGTTTACACCCTCAGCTTCAGTAATGGGGAGTCGACATGGAGTAATTACCTCCCCCCACCTGCCCCCTCCTCCTCCTCCCCCACCTGTCACTGTACACCTCGCTCTGCAGAGTTCAGAGCGAGTTTAGGTGTCAAAACAGCGCGTCGGCTCTGTGTTCCTGTCAAAAACGCTCAGTGTGGGAGCAAGCCAAAGCTCCGCCACCTCCAGCTGGGACGGTGATGGAGAGGAGATCGCTCCATCACTGGGAAATAACCCAGATCAGCTACGGGAGAGCGGGGAGAGCTGCTGAGTTCAAGGACACATCACAACAGCACTTCACTAAAAGAGCCAGGAAACAAAAAAAAGACAAAAACATTTATCTGCAGGAAATGAATCAAGTCCAGTTTCCTGTCAGAGAATAGAGAAATCTCTGGCTGTTTGATTCACCTCAGACTCCATCACAAGCAGAAATCTCACCAGTCCATAACCTTTTTTCACCTCTTTATTTCCATTCTCTTGTTTTCAGTTATTCCTTTGCAGCAACTCCCAAAAAAAGTTTTTAAACAACTCAACAACAAATTAATTCAATCATAAAAAATGAGTAAAGTTTAAAATCATTTTATTTCTCATTGCGTATTATTCTATTCCTGTGTATCCATGCCGTCTGCATGAACTTTTTTTTAATGTATTTTGAGCAAATGATTTCCTGTAAATGTAGAATAAGAAATGTTTTTAATGTAAATTTAACATTTATCTCATTTTATTATAATATAATTTTTTATTTTAAAGACACATTTAAACTTGATATGGATTTTTGTGACAACTTCAGTGTTTTCTTCTACCATTATCTTGAATGTTTGTTTTTATTTAATTCTTTAATATTCATTTTTAATTGATAATACTAACCTGCACTTTAATGATGATAATTTTCTTTGCAGAAATAAATGACATGCGAAGAAAATAGTCCTAAACAATTTTTTCTTATTTCTTTTTTTTGTTGTGAATAATACATTCAATTTCAAATCATT